TCAAGTCAAGCAGAGGCAAAACAGGTCTTCGTTTTCCGCACTGGGGGATGCCGCGATCCCTGGAGTCACCCCCTTCTTGAAAGGAGAGTGGCCCAGGTCGGACGCGACCTGTACCTGCAAAGCCTCTGCACCTCAGTGAATGAAAGCCGAGACGGACCATCGGCTATGTTCGATGCAGTGGGTACGCGGCCGTACCACACGTTCACACGCACTTGGGATTCAAGGTGAAGGATGCCTCGCACCCAATCATCAGCGACACTCGAGGTATCTGCAAAGCAACGGATGCAAGAGTAGCGCGCTCCCTCGTTATCAAGATAACACACAAGTTGTGCTCCCTGGATAAGACCCTTCCACAGTTCATATGCAATCAAGATTGAAGCAATCTCAAGCTCGAAGATTGGGTTCTTCGAAAAGGACAGGAGTTGCTTCATGAGCTCGTCTGGGACCGACTCGCCGAAGTAGCCAGCACAGCTGCCATTCGGGGCAAAGAGGACACCTCCGATGCCACCCCAAGATTTCTCAGCCTCACAAGCTCCGTCCGTGAAGAGAATCCAAGTTGCCCGGAGGCACGGCTGAACCTGCAAGGGCTCAGCAGACTTAGTTCGCTCGATCAAGAATTGCAACGCAGACCTGTGTAGAGCATTCAAGGGAACGGCCGAGTTCTTGTGTTTGCAAGCCCTCGACAAAGTCCTGACAGCTTGGTTGCTCACTCTTCCGAAGCTGTAGCCTTCGAAGAAAACCATGCGCCCCTTCAGCCTCTCGAAAGGCCTAGGCTCCATCTCACCCCGTTCAAGAACTTCGTTGAGTGCAGTGCATAGCTCGTCGCGCCGTTTGTCGGTGTGGCCGACAAGAATCACACGATCCTCTGTATTTGAAAGGTCCACCTGCAAACCGAGAGTTGCAAAGGAGGTTGCATGGTCAATTGCTTTCTTGCCCGACCTGTCGAAGCGAACCCCTAACAGATCAAACAAGCACTCGATGACCCAAGCAGTGTTGTCCTTCAAGATGTTCCTGCAGACATTCGTAAAATCGTCAAAATACGCAGTCCACACTATCTTTGCAAGAACAACCCCTATCTTCCAGATGGCGAACGATACACGCAGAAAAGCACTCACTGACGCTACAGATCCAAAAGGCAGCGCATTCAGACCAAGGAGAAGTGGCTCTTCCTCCCCTGGTTTATTGACTGCCAGTCTCACCAAGGCGCGATCAACTGGGTGCACACCGTACTGCTTGTACGCGGACTTAAGATCATAATTTCTCCCAACCCAGCCTGACAAGCCTGAGGCAGGAGTCCTCTCAAGCGCACAAGACAGAATCGCAGCAAGCTTGTCAATAGTGTGTAGCTCGAACCTTTCGCAAAGCCCAACCGTCAAGTTGAGGCACGAGATTGTACAATCATCAATCAAGCGAACCTTACCGTTCTGGACAATACCAAAGCGCATGACAATGCTACAAAGAGAGATCTCGGTCGAAACCCATACCCAACCTAAGTCTATCTCCTTCTGCGTTTCTTGCCACACCGATGCCTCAAGCTCTGAGTCCTGGCGCCGTGCGAGCTTAGACACCACGGTCTTGTTCAATCCAGGGGCAAGCAATTTGAGGGTGTCCACTGACATCCTTGGTGCTCTGACCTTAGGTCCGGAGTTGCCGGTGGCCGGCATCCAGCCGGATATACGAAAGCCAGATACAACATCCCTGAAAAGGTGCTCATCGCTACATCCGGCCGCCTGCATCATTTCCTTAAACAGGAGAAGACGTTTGCCTTGCAAAACCTGTGCAAGGTAGCCAGGCATGGCGGAATGAAGCTTATCCTCCTCAGGTGGGAGCTCCTTAGCTCTCGCACTCCACTAAAGTCGATTCGGGCGCGGGCTAAGTCACCAGGATTCCCAACAAAGTTCGCATGAATCGCTTCATCTATTTCGGGTTCAAGATGGAACTCGAACCTCCTGGGGTGCCCCGTGATCAAGGCCCTTCGAATGAACTCGGACGGTTCACACGGAATGCCAATCGTCACAAGCTCCACCTGAGTGCCGTTTGCTGCGACCTGACCAGTCCTCGGATCTGGAACTTCAAGGAAGATCGGGTGCTCGCACAGTTCAAGTGAATGCAAGACTTCCCCCCATCCGAAAACAAAGCGACGAACTACGCGAGAACCCTTAGGCTGCTTGGCCAAAAAGTCCAGCAAGAGCTGCGGCTTACTCGGAGGGCAAAGGCACGACAGAAAATGCGAAAATTCCGCGACCAAAGGCCCGAAGGAGGCTCCACGCGGCTGAAGACCCAAAGCCACGCGAGTGCTTTTGCTATGGAAAGGCACAGATTGCTGCGGCGACGGACCTGCCAAGGAGCCGTGGATGTGATTTGCCAAAGCTGAAAGCAGCCTCAGACAAAAGACAGAAGGATACTCAGATTCGTCAGCAGTCATGAATTTGACTTTACGTCCGAACAAACGTGGCTGCCATGGCTTATGGGGGTGCGAGTTGTCGCAACGAGCCTCGAGCGAACTGAAGACATCCTTGGACGACCACAAGCGGATCAAGCGAGGGCGAGCACCCCCATGACAACACAAGTGAAAACGGGTGAAGAACCCCGGACACACCGAAGTGATGGACTGAAAGAAAGAAGTAGCCCAGTACAGGGAAGAGTCAGGATTCTCGACAACAGTCAAAACATCCTGCCCTACGGAAGCCAAAACCAACCGAGCTGTCTCAAAGTAGAGCTGATTGGCATCCTCGACTCGTTTGCGATCCTGAGGAGAAAGCCCAGGGAGCATGTCAGGATGCGTGGAGCTCCGTAGCTCAACAGGCAGTTGATAGCCTTGCTCTTCCCACTTCTTGATATGTTTGCCTCGAGAGACACTGGCCGTGCCCGAGGGCAGAGACAAGAAGACCATGGCTAGTTTACCCTTCTCTGCAGAAATTATTTCAAGAAGATAGTCAATGTTGGCTGGATCACACAGGTCAAGGCGCAAGACTTGCTTACCAGGCGACCGGAACTGATTATTATCTACCGATAAAGTTCGAAATCCAAGTGAATCAGCCGTTCGTGAAAGAACCGCGTGACCTGCACACAGCTCCAAGATCAAGAAGTCCTCAGCGGTAGAACGATCATGTGCCGAGGACGCTGGTGCAGCGCGAATGTCCTTCAAAGGGCCACTGCTCGGGCCTGCAAAGTGTCGGAAAACAAATCCCAGCTCAGACAAAGAAGACCTGTCGCCATGGCTGAGCCTTTCAGCAAAAGACGGCATGTATGCAACCAAAACCACCCTGCGACCAAGCCAAGGCAGAACTGCGTGATGCACTGATGGGTCAATGCGAAGTGGCCCTGCATTCACATCAAGCAACTTCCCAAAGTAGGACTTGCCACTGTGTTTAATCTCATGCTGCCCTGCCTCATCCCTGATCCAGATCTGGCCTTGCTCAAAGAAAGTGAGCGGGATGACAGGATTCCTCGAGCCCTTTTCGTTGGCTTTGTCAAGATGAATCTCCGAGCGAACATCGGAAAGAATCTGAAAGGCCCCGAACACATGGGTGGGGTCGACGAATCGAATCACCGAGGTAAAGAATCGGCAGGTGGCCGACGCCGACGTGCATGCGTTGAAGACGCTGGCCTTGCCACCTCGGACATAGAACCCAAAACTTATGCGCGTCCCTGCAACGGAGCTGTCCTGCACACTTCGCAGAGATCGGTCCTTAGGGCAAGCATCGAACAGGCGGATGCAGTTGCTGGCAGTAAAGGCGTTTGCATGGAGCATGGTGCGAGCCATCTGTTCGTGGGTATCGGCAGATACTGGATCTGCGACCTCAGAAGTAGGAAGACTGGCAGCACTCAAAACCGGCAAACCCAAAGGACCTACACCCGAAAGGGGTTGGGGTTCCCGTGGATCGGCATCCACCGGGACAGAATTAGGATCAACCACACTATCAGCACCTAAACCGAAAGTAGACACGGCCACTCCAGTGCCACGGCCTACCTGATCGTCAGCTCGCGATGCCATACAAGCATCCGGGCTCTCAGACTCGTCATTTGTCTTCAAGAATTGGCTGAAGTTGCGCTTCATAGCCAACCTCGAACGAAGGAATTCTTTGTCGGCACAATTCCCGACCTGAACATGCATGCTCGAAGGCTCGAAGGGCCAGCCGCCCCCGAGCCAGAAGTCCGCTCCACGGACCCGGAACATGCATCAGCATCTTTGCCAACCCCATCAACGGATGTTCCATCGGAAGGGGCGGAAGCTTGCTCAAGGTGAAAACTTTCTGCCACTTCCCCTCCTAGTCACTCGGTTTTCAAGGTCCTGCAATTGACAACTGAATGACCCGGCTTGTGGCATGCTGCGCACACGTGGAGGCCTCTGTCACACTTCTGAAAGCCTGACTTCGGATCCTTCTCACTCTTGTGAGAGCAGCCATCGGGAAGATTGAAACCCCAGCACGCGTTGCCAAACTTGGTCCTGGTATCATATGCTGCCAAGGCGGCCGGCTTGTTCTTCGGGCCCCCTCGCGCTTTCGCCTTAGCCTTAGCCTTCTCAGTCGCAACGCGAGGCACCTTATGAGGTGCCGGGGGCTTGTCATCCTCCGTCACCTTTGTTGGCGCAACCTTCACGACCTGCGACTTCTGCATAGGAAGCAAGAACTGAGTGATGCGCTGATCGAAGGCCAAACGGGACATGACTGCATCAAGAGGTGGAACACCTGACGGCCCTGGATTGACGGCCCTCCTGTGACATGAGCAGGAACATCTCCTTGTCTGCCCTGACACACTGCGTCAACGTAACTGGTGCGAAATTCGGAGGAGGGACCTGTGACAAGCAGTCCAGGAGCCTCTGAATCCACTTTTGATGAACATTGTAAGAAAGCATTCTGCACTGATCATAAGCAAGACCCCTTCGCATCCAAGCCCACTGACAACGCAAAGAATCCGTAGTATCGCACTCCACGGAGACACTCGGACCTCCAACCTTGACAGTGTTGTTCTCGACTTGAAGGGTGCTCGGCTTTTCCTTGAAACCTGCGATCACCTCTTGCTCACGCTTCGGGCATTTAGAAGGTGCAAGCCAGTAAATCACTGCATTATCCATCTGATGATTGCAAGCATCAATCAACTGATAAGACGGGTCAAGCTCTCCGTCCATGTCTATGCCTCCCAGCCTAGACTGCTGAGATTCCTTACGTGCCCGCTTCTCTGGCAGCGGAAGCTTTCTCATCGGTGCACCATCTGATGAATCATGCGACACCATGTCCCTATAAGTCTGAATAACCAAGGTAGACGCCTCAAAGTGAAGCTGCCTAATACTGGACAACTCACCTACAGTCGGCTCGCCAGTCGCATACACAAGTTTCGCAAGCTCTCTAAAGGCATCCTCGGTCGGTGGGCTTTGAGGGGTTCCAAGAGCGAAGGCAAGCGAGCGGAAAGATTTGACGCCTTGAGTGGACAGCCCCGCAGTGAGTGAGCCATCACCACGAACCTCAAGGCACCTCTTCTCGAAGGCTGCTTCACTCTCGATGATAGTGGACATCGCAGAGCAGCCCTGATCCCCAATGACGCACGGTCACTGCACGCCCTACCTCAAGCCACCACCTCAAACACTCGAGCCCCAACAAGTTCACGACGATCAGACATGTGACTGTTTCGCACAAACATGTACTGCATGCACAGACTCTCTCAGACATGCAAAACAACATGACAGCAAGCGCGACTCTACAATCTTTCACCTCACTCCTTGTGTCGTTGTCAGCAAACCTAGCGCACAATCTGCACCGCGAGCAGGCCTGAGAAGGCCTATCATTGAGCCTTGCATGCAAGGCCCCAATGCTCCTGCCACACACACAAACACCTTGGAATAATGATCATGAGCCAAGTGCAAAACTTTGGACTTTGTATGCTCATAGTAGCACATGCCGTCAGGAGGATCAGGAACGACCCAGCGCACGAAAGACCTGGGAAGTTCGGCACCGTCCTGACTCTCTGAATCCGAACTACTGCTGGAGCCTGTGGTTACCGCATCTGACGGTGGTTCCTCAGCGGTGTCGGCGAATGTCCGTCGCGGAGACTCCCTAAGCAGAGTCGGGACCTCAGGGGCCGATCCGTCGTCGTCGTCCTCGTCCTTGACTTCTATCAAGACAGGAGTGCTTCCTTTAACAAATCTCCCACTTCTAGTGCAATCAGGCTTGAAGCGACCACTCCGAATAGCTCGCAACACCTTGTTCAGCAACAAGAGTGTGGGAGCAGCGGCATCTCTCCCGTATGTAAGTGGCATCTTAAAATCACCAGTGTGATACCCCAACAAGAGCAACTCATTCGGACTTGCCCCGAACTTGGTCGCAAAGCTAATGCAAGTGCACTTGCAAGAATGGCTCGACACACGCCTGTCCGGAATCGGGTCCGCGCTCCCGAAAAGCAACAGCCTAGCCCAAGACCCCGCCTCGTCGGACTCAAGACTCCGAACAGTGGGGAATCCTTGGTGATCTGGTGCCGGCATCACAGGGAAAAGCGGCGGCTCACCAATTCCCAGCAATCTTCTTGTTTCCCTAAATTGTTCTATCCACAAGTCTTCGGTAACACCCACACCAGGTGCCACCATGGGCAAAAGCTGCCCCCGCATGAGTTTGGCACCCATTGTCTTGTGGACTCCCACACCGGCCTCTATGAAAGCCGCCTCGCCATTCTCTCCACGATCCACAGTAATGGACTCTGCGTGGGACAAGTCCTCCCAGCGAGCCCTGCCGTAAGTTGCGAAAAGGAGGGCGCCGGCCATCAGCCTGTTCCACAGCTCAGAATCATTAGCGAGAATATAGTGAAGCTTGGTCAGCTCGGCCACTGTAAAGGGAGAGGCCTGGACCCGAGCCTTGAAATCTCGCTGCTTCGCGCTGCCGTGGCAGCGCTTGCTCTCACCCAGCTCAGCAAGTTCCGGAATCCCAACCACAAATCTCGTGAACGTGATGGCTTCAAGAACTGCCTTCCGAGCAGAAGCAGGCCTGCCTGCCTCCCGCATGCCACACAGGTACTGGTAGAAGATCTCCTCCGATCCAGGAAAACCCAACCCTCGGTCACTCAAGAAGTTGTTGTAACCCAGCAGAGACCTGTACCGCTTGCGTAAAGTAGCGGGTGCCTTGCCACCAAGTAAATCTTCAATCATAAAATATCTAGGCAAATGCCCCAGGTCCAAAAGTTGCCGAACCACGGCCAGCTTGGCGGGCCAAGACTCAATGAGCCCCTGCCAGAGGTAAAGAGCCTCTGACCGCTCCTTGTCCCTCTTGGCCTTCCAGCTTACCGCTTCACGGTCTTTAACTGCATTCAAATAAGTAAAACTTCCGCCAGATTTATCTGCCGAACCAGAAGTCTTGGCAGCCTTCAAGCGCGAAGAATCACTTTCGAAAAGCACGGCCTCCGGTCTCTTATACACAGAACCATGCATTCCATGATACAAATCCTTCGGCGATCCAAAAATGTCCGCCCAAATCCCCTTCTCCCAGCACTGCTCCAGACCTGCAGTGGGTAAAGACTGATGTGCAAAAGCCACGGCAGCTGGAACATTGAATACACGATCACCAGAAGATGACCCCGGCATGCCAGAGCCCTGCGAGGGCACATGCCTCGGAGTCTCCTCTGCTGTCAAAGAACCAGGAGGGAGATCGCTGCCCTTGTCAGACAGATTCGCCTTTGAGTACCATTGTACCTCCTCGAAGTCACTGGGGTCAAAACTCGCACTCAGAGCAGGAGACCTGTCTTGCAAGAAATCACGACTGTAATTCTCAACGGAGTCGCCGCAAGCCAGATTATCAAGGTGAGCTTGAAACTCTTCGACGGAGCTCTCACCAACTGGCCTGGATTCTCCCCTTTCATCACTTGACAGTTGGTCACTCATTGCTTACTGCTGAGCGCAAAATGAACCAGCACGAATAGACCAACGTGTTTTAAGGATACTCAGATGATCATCTCGGCAGAGAAAGCCCAAACCAAGCGCACAGCATCAAGCTCGGCACTTCGGAACAAGCCAGACAGAACCTGGCCGGCCATAGCTGGACCCACCTCTACACTTCAAAAACTACAAGCAATCTGTTATTGCTTTCCCACCCACCCTCCGCTTCGAGGCGAGCGAGGGATGTAAAAGATCACAACTGTCCAATAGCAAACTATTGCAACAAGTGATGTTGAAAAAGGTTTGGGCAATGTCCCAAAATCAAAAACGTGATGGGAAAGACATGTCACTAATTTTCCAAAGGAAAATTTCCACAAAAAGAATAAAGTGATCATCCCTCCGGGAGGATGTACTTGAACTGATCTAGGGGATCAAGTCCCCATCCGACTTTCCACAACTTGCCTACTGCAAATAGTGGTTGTGTTACATCTCCGAACACAGCTGAATCTCTCACCTTTATCACTCTTCCATCTGTTCTTTGAAACTCAAATGTGATGTTCGCTCTTGTCTCTGTTGTTCTTATCCTGTTGCCTTGGGCATCTTGAATAACCATTCTCAAAGCTGGGAACTCAACTGTTCCTAAGTCTTCACTGTAGTAGCATAGCGGAAGCACATGACAATCCGCGCCACTGTCCAGGACTACTTCAACAAGTTCTGAGTAGCTTGAGTTAACGGTTCTCACATAAGGCCTTTGACTTGACCATTCTTCTGGTCTCTGATTCAGAATCACTTCTGTCTCTGACTCTTCACCACTTCCGAAAAGTCTCTCTCGATCTCTTGCACGCTTGACATTCCTTTTGTCCACATGCAGATCTTCGTACCACTTGTGAATTTCATCTCTTTCATAATCCTCTTCATCACTTTCATCTTTCATGCTTGACCATAACACCACTGTGTTGACCTTTACTGCTCTTGCACCATAGTCCATTGCCATCTCTTCAAACATTCCTACAAGATCAATGTAGTCTTCGTCTTCTTCGAATATTTCTTCAATCACTGGCATAGGCGTTGTCACCAACCTACGCACTTGCTCGTTTCCTTTTGCTCCTTGTGGTGCTCTTGCTTGTGGCTGTGTAGAAGAACTTGGTTGCTCTTCATACCATTCTTCCTCTCCTGTCTCTTGGACATTCCGAACTTTTCCTTTTCCACCTTTTCCTCTTCCCTTTGGTGCCGACCAACACCGAAGAGTAATGTCCGGTCTTACCGCAATTGAAACATACAGGTCCATTCTGTCCACCTTTGCCTTTTGCATTCTCGTAGCCTTTACCTTCAGCCTGCCTGATACTCTTTCCGAAACCTTTCTTCCCAAATCCTTTTCCTTTGCCATAACCTTTTCCTTTTCCTTTTGGTCTTCCTCTCCCACCTTTTCCTCTTGCGTATCCTTTTCCTTTTCCTCTGTCTCCTTTGCCTTTTCCTGCTTTTCCTTTGTCACCTTTTCCTTTTCCATCTCCTTTACCTTTTCTCAAGTGCAATCTATCAAGTTCCATCGGGATTGGTCCTTGGTAAGCTTTGTTGCTTGAGTGTAACGTTGGGTCTTGAAGACTTGAAGACTCAACGATCCTAAGATGTTTTCAGCTGACCATGTCTGATTGCTTCTTTCATATTGCAGCAACTTTGCTCTCAACTGTTCAAATGTGGTCTTATCGGTGATATCGACCATCACGTGCTGCTTGAGGTGCTGTGGGATTCCTTTCAGCAGTGTACCGATCTTCAAGTTGTCGTCATACTTCTGTCCTGAGAGTTTTTCGTACTCTGCTGTGAGCTTCTCGTACGTTAAGACGAAATCCATCAGCGATGCTCCTTTGCTCATGGCTGGGAATCCAACCAATGCTTGTACCATTGCTAGACTCCTTGAACGAGATGTCGGCTCTAGTTCGGCCGTCAACTTTCTCCACAATTCAAATCCATTCATCCCGCTTGCGCTTCTCAACACTTTCAGAGGTCTGTTCTTCAGGTAACTGCTTAACACTGAGTAAAGCTTTGTTCCTCTGTTCACTCTTCCTGAGTCACTGTCGAAGAATGTATAAGTCACTTCTGAGCTTATCACATCCTTCTCTTCTTCCGCTGCTTTCAAGTCCTTCAGGAATTCTTGGTCCATGAACGCTAAGAAGTTCTTGAACGTAAATGACCAGTCGCTCCATTGCGACACTTCTTCTTCAATTGTTGCTGGGTTGAACGCTTCTGGTGGCTTGAGAATCTTACCTCCAGTATCAAAGCTTACTGAGGCTGGTTGGCTGGGCCGACTGGGGGAGCCGCCAGCCGTTGGTGATGCCTGGGCTTTCACCAGTTCATTCATTGCTGTAGTCAGTTGTGCTTGTTGGGCTGCAGTGCCCTGTGCAACTCTTGCCATAGCTTCTGTAGCTTGACCTAAGTTGGTCATCAGTAACTCAAACCTCTGTTGCTGCCCTTGTTGTGGGTTCAGGGGCTGCTGAGGCTGTTGAGCTTGCTGTCCTTGTTCTTGCATCTTTGCAACACTTTGGCAGGTCTGTGTGTAACTGGCTCAAGGTCTTTCACTTCCACGCTTTTCTTCGACGACGCAAGGTGCTGTTGGCTTAGCCGTAACTCCTCGCTCTTCTCCGGCAGGATGCTCTCGGAATTAACCTTAACTTCCCGCTTCACTCTTTTCACTTTTCCAGCTCTTGGCTGGCTTCCCTGGATCTTTGCTTGATCAGCTGCTGGCCTTTGCCAACAGCTCCGCTACCATGAAAGTTTAAACCCTTATACCAGTATACTTCTTATAACCACGGCGCGAGCTTGGATTCTTTTCACACTCTCAGCTCCGCTGTTGGGCTGTGCTTGAGCCTCCGTTTGACCTTCGGTGAAACACTGGATTCCTGTATGTAACTGTACATGAGGGAAAAATGAACTATCTGTTAGAATTGCGCCTTTCTTTTGAAGGAACTTGGCGTTCGTGACGCCCAAGCTCAAACGCAAAACACAGGCTTTCGGGCCGATCTAATTTGCGCGATACAATTGTTCCGCTACCAATGATGCAATGACAGAACGGCAGACACACTACAGGCAATAACAACGCATAAGCAGCAGCGCCTCCACCAGCCAGTGGATGTTCTCCACGACTAGTTTGATTCAACCTCGGGCCGCACACCAAAGTTGCATTATACATTATAGTTGTACAGTGTCAGACTGACGAGTCCAACATGTGTGTATGAGGACACCACATACAAAGTATGTAGATGCGATGTGGTAAGCTGTCCTTGGTATAGTAGTTAAGATAAATCGATTGTATTATGGTTCATACAATACCTATGAAATTACCTTTAAGAATAGAGGGAGCGGTATTAAAACCAATGAAACCGGCAACGAAGATGACGACGATGATGAAGATGATGAAGATGATGGAGATGATGGAGATGATGGAGATGATGAAGATGATGAAGATGATGGAAATGATGGAGATGATGAAGATGATGGAGATGATGAAGATGATGAAGGTGATGGAGATGACGGAGATGATGAAGATGATGGAGATGACGAAGATGATGAAGATGATGGAGATGATGGAGATGGTGAAGATGATGGAGATGACGAAGATGATGAAGATGATGGAGATGATGGAGATGATGAAGATGATGAAGATGATGGAGATGATGGAGATGATGGAGATGATGAAGATGACGGAGATGATGGAGATGATGGAGACGATGGAGATGATGGAGATGATGAAGATGATGGAGATGAAGAAGATGGTGGGGGTGATGGATATAATGGAGATGGCAGGGGGCAGGGGGCAAATGGCAAAGGGGAGGGAATGGCGAGGAGGTGGGGAGGGTGTGTGGTGGGTGAGAGGGGGGTGGGGTGGATGGTGGTTGGGTGGGGGGTGGGGTGTCCGCAGCCCTGTTGGACCATAATGGGTTGGTGGTGGGGGTGGGGGCAGTGGGTGGGGTGAGGGAGTTTTGTGGTGGTGAGGGGGTTTGGGGGATTGGGGCGGCGTGGGGGTGGGTGTGGGGGGGGGAGGGGCAGGGGTGGGGTGGGTGGGTGGTAGCGGGGCGGGGATCCGTGGGCCCCATCCACAGAACCCCAGGATTTCAATTAATTGAAATAATTGAAATAATTGAAATAATTGAAATGGCGCCGATTTCAATTATTTCAATTATTTAAATCAACCGGGCCCTTTGGCGGATTTAAATTATTAAAACAGTTGAAATTGGCCGGATTTCAGTTACTTCAGATATTTTAATTATTTCAATTATTTAAATAATTCAAAACGGTAGGCTTCGTGGCTTGGCCCAGAACAACCATCGGTTTCAATTATTTCAATTATTTAAATCCGCCGGGCTCTTTTGCGGACTTAAATAATTGAAACAATTGAAATCCGAGGGTTCGATGGGCCCAAGTCACCACATCCAGTGATTTGAATAATTTAAATAATTGAAATAATTGAAATAATTGTAATAATTAAATGGGGCCGATTTCAATTATTTCAATTATTTAAATCCACCGGGCCCTTTGGCGGATTTAAATAATTGAAATAATTGAAATCGGCCGGATTTCAATTATTTCAATTATTTAAATAATTCAAATCGGTAGGATTCGTGGCTTGGCCCAGAACAACCATCGATTTCAATTATTTCAACTATTTAAATCCGCCGGGCTCTTTTGCGGACTTAAATAATTGAAATAATTGAAATCCGAGGGTTCGATGGGCCCAAGTCACCAAATCCAGTGATTTGAATTATTTAAATAATTGAAATAATTGAAATCCGGCCGATTTCAATTATTTCAATTATTTAAATAATTCAAATCGGTGGGATTCATGGCTTGGCTCAGAACAAGCATCGATTTCAATTATTTCAAATATTTAAATCCGCCGGGCTCTCTTGCGGATTTAAATAATTGAAATAATTGAAATCAACTCTGTTGATTTAAATTATTTCAATTATTTCAATTATTTAAAATAATAGTAGTCATGCAGAAAAGAATAAAGCGTAAAATAGACCCTAGAGTCGCCTCTCTCATATATATATATATATATATATATATCTGAACTTGTGATCATGCCCACGTGGCGCCCCATATAATCGAGAGTGGGTTTATCGGCGCCGAAGCGCGCAAGCCACGCCAAAAAACCGTCTCCTTACATGAGTGACTGGTGAGGCTCTCGATGTCGGGATGTCTCGTAGGAGAAACCTGAGTAGGGACGTAAATTCGTCCGACTCGATATGGCGCTCGGACCATGTGTCGTCCGACAGCGACGCAGGCAAAAATGGGCCTGGCACGAAGTCGCCAAGCAACTGATTTCGAAGGTCGAGGAACTGTCCTGCCCAGTTTTCGTCAGTTATGCCAAAGGCCGGTGCCACTATGGGGAGAAAGCGACGTTTCTCGCGATTCGCAGTCTTGTGATGCTCCGTCTTGACTTCTATGAAGCCGTGACGGCCTGTGACGTCCAGGACGATTTCCTGGACGAACCTGAGGTCTGAGCATGTGCATCTGCCATACACGCACATTAGCATAAGCCCCGCTGCCAGTCTGTCAAATACCCCTTCGTGTAAATTTCGAAGGGTCGCGTGCAAGCGGAGTACCATGACAACGGTGAGTGCAGGGGCTTGCTTCAGCAGTCTCTTGTTGCTTGCGGACTGCTTCACCACACCTTGGATGATGTAGCTCGAGATGATGCTTGCTGCCCCTTCAGGCTCGATGGTGTAGATCATGAAATTTACGGCCTGGATATCTGAGGCTGGCGCTGTTGCCGCACCTAACGCCTTCAAGCGGTTAACATATTCAAAGGCAATTGACCATGGGCCATGGTAACTGGGCGTGCTCGACACACCACGACTGGTATCTCTTGACCACCATGCCCCTCGAGTTTATGGTGGAGGGAGCTTTCACCCCCATGACTGCGTCAACGCAGGAAAAAAGTTCTTCGGCTGCTTCCTGAGTGTTTCCCTCCTCTGGAAGCTGAATGTGCCTCGTGATGCAGAACTTCTGTGGGAACGACCATATGATCTCGCACCACATCGCTATTCCCTTGAATCTAAGGGTTTGCTCGCTCTTGGAAAAGCTCATGTTCGGCCGATTCTTGATGGATGCTAGGGCCGAGGCTCCGGCAGGAGGGCGGGCCGACAAGAGAATGTTGCCAATCGCCTCGCCCGGGTCTTGATGTAACTCCTCCTGCTGTGCCAGATTTTGAATCTGGGATGAGGGGACCAGGACGAGGGGCTCGGGCTTCCGAAGATCCTTCTCATGAGGGGACTCTTACAGGGCATCTCGATCTTCGGCCGTTTGGCCCCGCGCGCAGCAAACATCCTTGCAGCGCTTGCTCATATGTGCACGTCCCTGCAGGACACCTCCTGCTGTGGGTGCCCACTCTGGGTGTTCCGCACTCGGTGTGGCAGAGCTACTCTTGGAGGGTGTGTCCACCAACTCGGCGGATCTTATCACCGACCACACTTCTTCTCCTTCACCTTCTGAGAAGACTTCTCGCTCTAGCTCAAGAAGGCGATCAAGCTCTGCTTCGTCCGACATTTTGGACCGGGTGAGACTTTGAGAGAAAATACAGACTTGAGCAAAAGACTGGAGAGCATCGAGGGCTTATCAAGAACAGGAGAATGCGGACACAAGGAGAGGTGCCCCCACTTGGCGAAAAGATGCCTAATGCTTTGACTCGAGGACGCTTTTGTCGCGGATCTCCCCGCTGCGCCTCCCTCTTGCTGAGGGGACTGGTGCTCCTGAGACTGGGATCTCCTAGCTCCTAGCCTTCTCCCTCATTCCTCTCCGATGGACTCCGCCCGAATCCCGTTCCCCTGAGACATGGGGAGTAAAGCAACTCGGGCAGTACTCTGAAAGAGCGGCGTGCCTCGTTGAGGTGGCAGTGGTGATGAGCTCGGCTGTCCGTCAGAGAAACGAAGCGGGCATCTGAGGAATAAGTGGCAGCCGCATCGTAGCCCTGCTCTCACCAACATTTTGGCCGCTGCTCGGCAGCTTGCCGTGTGCCGGGAGCTTGGCTGGATGATGTCGCCACTGAAGAAGCCGGGTTTGTATGCCCTTGAGGAGGGGTGTCTTGGTCTGGGGAGGATCGTTGCCTCCTCCGACGTTCTTTCTTCGGTAGGTCCCTTGTGTGCTTGGATCTCTTTTTCTTTGCTGCCTTCTTCTTCTTTCGTTTCTTGGGGCTTTTCTCAGGCAGCGCTTTGGGCTTTGGCAGGGGGTCGAAGGCAGAACTCCAGGACGACAGATCGTCCTCTTCTGTCATCACGTCCATGCTGTCAGCTGACATCATGTCTGAGTGGCAGACGGCTAACATTGGAGTTCCTGGAAGCAACCCTGCCTTCTGACTTCTCAGGGTATGCAGAGACAAACTCGGAAACTTCGCTTCTTTTGTGACTGAGGCACTTGCGGTTTGTCCAGCTCTCACTGATGTTGAATGTTCTGGAGCTGCGGGACGCGATAGAGAATTACCACGGAAAACTCACGACTTGCGAGCTGCGACGCCCCTGGGGGCGCGGCTGGATCTGCGAGTGGATCCCGATGTTCGCTCCGTGCTTTGCATTTGCAAGATCAGAAATTTCCACGCACAGAAGTGTGAAAGAACCAAGTGTCGAGCCTCGAGGCGAGAAAAGACTCTGTCAGCGAGGAAGGTCTGAACTCTGTTCAAGCGATGTATCTGAATCTGCAGGCCCCTCATGTGACACAAAACAAAACACTCCGTAGAAGTAAAAGAATCTGTGGGCGATGGATCTTCGCTCCTTTGTCCCGTGATTTCGGGGGGATCCAGTTTCTTGACTTCCTCGAGAATGTGATCGAAGGCCTGCGCCTCCGGTTTTTCAAGCGATACCTAACGAAAATACGCATCAACTTCCACGGCTAAGCTCCAAGCAGCTGTCTTGAACCAACACTCGCAAGTAATGTGTAGTTGAGCCGGTGCACATGCTTGTACTGCTGCAAGGCATGCGGAGACACGATGATTACGAGCAGGCATTCCATCAAAGCAGGCATCTTATGGAAATTCACTCTTTCCCTGGAAAGATCTGTGAGCGGGACGGCAAGCCTTCAGAATGGCACAACGACGGCCACTCCCTCCGGCTTGGCAAAACAACTTTTAATGCAATATGCCTCGGTGCACCGGCAGGCTCCAGCAACTCTGCAAGCGGCATGCAAGCGCCAATTGCCACCGCCACTGACGCTGGCTGATGGGGCGTCACAGCTTGGCCCAAAATGATGGGCCCCTGCTGGCCCTTGGGGATGGCCAGAGCTCTGCGTACACTGATGGCGTGGTCAGACCACTCCTGGTTGAGGGCCTGAGTGAAGAATCCACTGCTTGGCTGCCCTTCTCCCACGCGGGCGAACCAAACCTTCGCGGAGAATGTAGGGCAAGGACTTCCAGTCTGTGCCGTGCCCCCAAGTGAGATAGCTGAGGGCGCCCTCAGCTGCTGCATCCTTGTAGTAGCCGTGGGGCTTCGTGGCTTTCCAGCCAACCCCTTCCCATTCCAGAATGTCGCGCTCTGCGTCGGGCTCAACCTCGGCCATAGCGAGAGCCCGAAAAAGGCGGAGACGAACACTCCGGGGCAGGTCCCCAAGGGACGGGTGCAGCGAAATGAAATTCTCGGCCACACAGTGTTATTTGGAGGGACACTGAGTGTCACGATCTCGACATTTGCCCAGGCTTCATTGACAGCCGGGACGCGGTCTGGGTCCTTCTTGGTGGCCTCATGCCAGAAATCATCATCCGCATCCAAATCATCGATTTGAAAAGGCTCCGCGGAATCGTCTGGAGCGTCCGGATCAAACTTCTTGGCCGGACTGGCCTTGGGGGCAGCACCTGCGGGCCCTTCGACTCACCCTTCCAGTTGCCCCAAGACTCAGCAGAAGATGCTGACCCACGTTGAGGTTCATTGCGTGGCGTGGGGGCACTCCATTGATGCCAGGATCTGCCGCGACCCTTTCCGCGCCCACGTCCGCCTCGATTCTTTCCTTTGCCGCGACCTTTGCCACGGCCCCAGCCACCTTGCTGCCAACCACTGTTGCCCCAACTCTGCCCAGCCGCGGTTCCAGTGCTGGTGGCTGCCCTCATCTCGATCATGCCACCGCTGGCTTTCGTCGCCTCGGTCGCTCCAGCACGGTTGTAGCCCCAGCCTTCGTGACTGCGTGCCACCACTCGGCCGGCGGTTCGTTGGGAGTTCTGCCATCACGAGGGGTGATGGGACTCCGGCTGCGACTCTCCTCGCGACTCTGGCCCGGACCTTCCCGCAAGGCCAAACGCTGTTCGCCTCCTTGCTGCTCTCCCCAAGAGATGGGCATGACGGCATGACAATGAAAGCCCCCTGAGCAAAAATCTCCATGGGCTGATTTCCTCCACGGCTTCCACTTCCACCG